ATTTCTGGCACTAAACTAACATTTCCTCTGTTCATTAGTTATGTTTTCAGGCTTTACTAATGATTTCCCTTTTGATTTTTTATTCACATAATAAATTTTTATTCAAACCAAAAAATAGAAGATTACTGTTATGCAGTATTGTAATAATTGTATAAATAATATCACCACATTTGTGAACATATATTAGACCCACCAGCAGGCGTGTATTAGATGTTTGAGGTCATTTGTTTACTCTTAAACATCACAAAAATTTAACATTTCCATTACTTTGAGCTCAGTTTCAAGCCATTTCCAATACTAAAACCAATCAAAATCATCTCTATTTCTGTAATATATATTTCATTCTATCAAATGAGACCAATAAAATTGCAAATACAACTATAAAAAACTACGAAAAAACACTGCAAAGTCGCTGTTTTAATCGAAAATTACGGTCTCGGTTTTTTTTCTCATTATGCACATGTGCTGCAGGATTTGTTCTATGTGGTGCACACATACCACATAGATGTATTCTCTCATATCTAGGCCAAAATTTACCACTCACAGCTTATCAGAGTGAGCTGTGCTCATGACATAGATCTACGATTTGGACCCTCAACGTAAAGCCGTAGATGTACAGCATGGACCCTCAAAGGGTTAAAGCTGACCCTGTCAACCCTATGCCTGTTGTGGAATGTATTGTGTCTTTGGGAAAGTCCATGGGGTTGGATGTGAGTGGCCAGGATGTGGAAGAGTTGGTGGTGGACCACAGGGAAGAGCTAACCACTGAAGAGCTGAAAGACCTTCAACTGGAACAGCAACAGACTGCAGCTGAGGAAATTGCTTCAGAGGAGGAGGAAGAGAGAGGGGAGAAGGTGCCTTCTTCAGTGATTAAGGACATTTGTGCAAAGTGGAATGAAGTACAAACTTTTGTTGAAAAATATCACCCTGACCAAGTTGATACAAGCCATATCTGCAACATGTTCAGTGACAATACCTTGTCCCATTTTAGGCAAATCTTAGAGATGCCAGAAACAGCTCTCTGGACAGATTTTTAGTGTGATAGGGGTCCAGTCCCAGTAAAAGACAAAGAAGGGAAGTAACCCCAGAGAGGGCTTTGATACCTGAAGTCTTTATGGAGGGGGGTTCCCCTTCCAAATAGCAATCTCAACTCTCTTCTCCCCTCCTTGCCTTCTTCAGTACGCCAACAAGTGTCTTCAATAAAGGTATGTAATGTTCATTTATCATTAAAATTAGTGCGCTATATTTATTTCTCATTATTTTGTTTTCTGTATGTAAAACTATAGCTATTCTTTAAAAAATTAAAATTTTGTGAATATTTTGAGGTTTCTGGAACGGATTAAGATTTAGAATGACCTTCTGGAACGGATTAAGTATGAAATCTGGGGTTCCACTGTAACTTTAAAACACTTGAAAACTTTGGTAAGTTTCCAGACATGATGGAGAGATGTGCTTACGGAGAATGTAAACAAACTGGGTGGCACACGGTGACTGTATTAGAAGGTCAGGTGGGGGAGCCACATAGCTAGTTTTGATCATAATTTGAAGTGTGTGTATTAGCAAAACGCTGTAAAGTGGGGCCCTACTGTACTTAGTAAAGTGACTTATCTGCTCTGTCTTGTGGACAGCAATACTTCATTAGTGTAATATACAAATCTTCTGGTTTCATGGCATTAGTGTGTTTCAAATCCATGTTTGTACAGTACAGGTTTCCCTTTGCTTAATGTAAAATTGTTTTTATGCAGTGACTCCATTTTTACAATTCTCTCTGTATGGAAAAAATTGTTCTTTTGCAATCACCCACGCCCAGCACCACTCGAGTTTTTAACACTCTCTCTTTAATATCACTCTAAACTGATTTATTATGAATTTATATAAAAGAATTAAGAAAAATAGGCTTATGCTTTCAAAATTCATTGAGTATATTTTGAATGTAATCCCATGACTGGTTTTCAGTTTAAGTCCTATCCCATCCCAAAATTTTACTTTATTTTAATTCAAAAGACAAATGGTACTTGGCCAGCCATAGCTAAGTGGCACTGATGTAGAGTCAGGATTTGGAAGTGGAAAGAGAAGTAGGGCAATATGTATTCACAGGGTCATAATGTGTACTTCAACCAGACAGAGACAGGGTGGTTAGTGGTGGAGTGAGGCAGGAGGGGAAGAGGATTATGATAGCAATTTGTATTTTTTTTTTTTTTTTACCAAATTAATTTTTTTGTTTTTTGGCTGTTTGATGTCTTGTGTAGTATGTTCATAATTGTTTGGTAACTAAGTCAAGAAATGTTGAGTTTCTTTTTCTTCTAGCACTGTTAATTGTACAAGGAGAATGATTGAATTTTGGATTTTATTTTTCTTAGTATTTTTTTGGAACATATTCATTTATTTTTTGATACACAAATAACCCGCACATAAAAGAGAGAAGCTTACGACGATGTTTCGGTCTGACTTGGACCATTTACAAAGTCACACTAACCAGAAGTGGAGCAGGACGGCTATATATAGGCAGGAAGAAGTGGTGGTAGTAGTAGTAGTAGTAGTAGTAGTAGTACAAGAATGGTATATAATACCGACAAGATGAAATTAAGACACATGCGCAACACCCGGGCATCCCTATCGTAGACGTTTTGCCATCCAGCCAGCCACTGGATGGTGAAACGTCCACAACAAAGACAACCAGACGCCGTTGTGGACGTTTCGCCATCCAGCCAGCCACTGGATGGCGAAACGTCTACGATAGGGATGCCCGGTGTTGCGCATGTGTCTTAATTTCATCTTGTCGGTATTATATACCATTCTTGTACTACTACTACTACTACTACTACCACCACTTCTTCCTGCCTATATATAGCTGTCCTGCTCCACTTCTGGTTAGTGTGACTTTGTAAATGGTCCAAGTCAGACCGAAACATCGTCGTAAGCTTCTCTCTTTTATGTGCGGGTTATTTGTGTATCGTTCCAGTCACGGTATTGTACCTTTTTTTGTTATTTATTTTTTGATACTTTTCCATTTGGTGCCTGTCATTTGTTTTTTGGATAAAAATTCCTTAAGAAATGTGGAATTTTTTTCCTGATTCTGGAGTTGTTAGTTGTATAAGGATTATAACTGAGTTTTGGATTGTACTGTTTTCTTGACTTTTTCAACCAGATTAATTTTGTTTTTGTTAATGATTATATTGTGTGTGGCAAATTCATATTTTTTGGGTAAACATTTGTCAAAAAATGTGGCATCTCCAAAGTCTTAAAACATATCCTTATGTGTTACATGATTCTGACTGTTATTTATATAGGGATTATAACTGAATTTTGGATTTTACTTTTTACTCGGTTTTTCAACTAAATTAATTTTTATTTATTAATGATGTGGCTAATTCATATTTTTTTGGTAAACATTTGTTAAAAAATGTGGTGTTTGCGAAGTCTCAAAGCCTGTTCTTATGTTTTACATGTTATGTTGGGTTTGTTTTGTGATTTCACTTATTGCCATCTGCCAGGAATGCACCTGTTGCATAAAATGAAGGACACAACACATATATATCGAAATAACAAAACAGTGTTGTACATATTTTTGTTTCAGGTACTGTATTCCTTTAGCATGGTTACCTTATTATTTGAGCTTCCTTTAATATGCCCTTTTTTACATTTACACAGTACAGTCTCCACAGAGCAACTATTCCAAATTCTTCACACACTACGCTCACAGAATATCTCCATTCATCCATATATGTAGCTGTTGTGCGGTCTTAAGGTGGGAAATTTAAACTTCTGTTCTGTATCCCTATAGTTATACAATACCATATCACCCTCTTCCCTATTTGTAATAGGATGATGTATACATATAGATCATCCTTATATACTGTATTTACAGTAATTACTACATGGTATCTGTTATTTTCAGCCCATATTGCCAAAAACATATACATGAGCCCCACTTATACAGCTGGTTAGGTTCCAGGGTACTGCTGCTAAGCTAAAATCACTGTTAGGTGAATCATAGCCTTTTTTCACTTTCAAATGCATATAAAAGCCTGATAGCATGTTTATACTATCATATATTAAGTGATAATAGAGCTAGGCCTAAAAAAATGCATATTGTAGTATACACATTACTTGCCGTAAACTATTTTCATCTTTAGCTTATAGTGAGTGGTGAATATACTTATTGTAGGAAGTTTGAATAAATGATGAATGGGTGTAATTGAAAACTGCTGCATTAGCAAAACACCATAAAGCGAAGCATTGGAAAACAGGGTCTGTCTGTACTAAAGAAATTGGTACCAGTATGAGACTGATCACAACATATAAATCCTTTGTGCTTGTTTACGACATCAAGTAGTTATTGTGTTATATTTACAAAAAGCACTAAACCTGTGTGGGTTAAACAGTGCTGCAATAATAAAGATAGGATGTGCAAAAAACAGTAAAGTGATTTTTCAAGTGGGCATCTTTAATAAATTTGAAGTATGTTATAAGAAGCATTTAAGAGGATTTTAGGTAGGTACTCCACCCCTGAAAAAATTCTTTTAGGATTGTTCTGTAGGTACTCCAATATTAATACAAGTTTTTTATAAAAAAAAAAATTCATTACATTTGGAAAACAAGATAATTATAAAAAATATACAGAAAAAATGGAGAGACTGGGTTGTGGGCAAGATAGTCTCCAGAACCACTAACAACAGGTTTTCCTTGGAGAATTAGTAATTAATAAGCATAGAAGTGCAAATAAAGTTTATAATGCCTCATACTGCCTTGTACTGTAATGAGAGACTATAAACACTAGTCTTTTAGAAAAAGGTATTTTTTTTTTATACAAGTTTATTGATGGTGTGGCACTGTATCAGGCTACCAAAATATTTTACAATGTAGCTGTGGCCATTAAGAAATTCCTGGAAAAGGATGATGCAAAATATGTTCTCCTCTTGGTAACCCAGGCTGAATGTTTCTACTATAGTATTATATTATAAAGTGAATACTAATGAGACTTTTTGTTATTTTTGCAGATCCACTTATTTGACATTAATGTTCCTGGTGGTATCTCTTTTCGTGAGTCTGATACTCTGTCCTCTGGAAATCAATTGACAACATTTGATTTACCACAATGTAAAGTTGGGTTGGGTATCTGTTATGATATGAGATTTCCTGAGCTGGCACAGGTCTACACTAAGATGGGTGAGTGCCACTTTGCTCTTAATTTATATGAAAAAATTGTGTGTCTACCTGCTTTTAATTGGATAATATAAAAAAACATTTTAAATGAACTTGCGGGTTTCTGAAGGGCAAAGAACCTCACAAAGCTCAAAGTATAAATTATTAAAAAAGTAAATTTTGAGAATGTATTTTCCTATTAAAAGAATAAACATTGTAGCTGTCATTATGTGACAGCCCCTAACAATTCTTAGTTATAATGGTTAATATGTGAAATATTTACAGTAGCAGTATAGCGTTTTTACACGAGTTCAATGCGGATTCTGGGAAATTTGCTCTATTACATCTGAATATAATTATATGTAATAAAATATTAATAAAATATTGAAAAATATCTTAAATTACAAAAATAATGATTTAGTTTTAACTTAAGTACTGCAGTTTCTTAAATATTTTAATATTGCCTCCTTATTTTATTATCTTTTACTGCCACATTAATTAATTTGTCAGTGCTGAATAACCATATGGATTCAGTGCCTTTTGTGAATTAATACAAATTTAACAGATTTGTAACATGGGTTTATCATTTTCATTGAATACGATACTGTAATAGATTTGCGTTGTTATAAATGTCTGCAAAATTAATGCTGATAAATCATTTTGCTACTGAGAGTGTACAGCTGTGAGCTTGTGATATATCGGTCTCTTCAGCTTTGCATGATCTTCCTTTGTGCAGATTTGTGTACAATTCACACTTTTCTTCACTGTACAGTATTGCTTTGCACAAATAGACGCTTGTATGCAATATTGGATCGAACAAAGTGGGTATTTCATGGTCAGATATTTCGGTTCATGTGTGTTGAGTTTGGAGATGAGGAGCCATTAACATGACCTGTTAAGGCTTTATTAGGTGTCTCCATAAATGTTACAGTACTGTACCTTTAGTGGGCTTTGATTAAAATTGTCTTTCTGCAGTGCAGTTGTCTTGATAATTTGATATTGCCTTTTCAGAAAAGCAATGTTTAAGATTATTTTAGGAAATACAAGCTCCAACTGCCAATTTTGGAATGTTTTTTATTTTTCTGGGTATTCTACTCTGCTTTCTGGAGAAATAACAAGCGGGCAGAGCTACAACACATTCATTATGCCTATTCTGATTCCACTTGATGTTTTTGGTATAGTCAAATCTTATTTTCCTGAACCATGTTAGGCAGAAAATTTGCCATCCTGAGTCACTTCAAAAGAGATCAATCATGTCTTTTTATAAGACGAATCAGGAGTTGGACTGTTGAATTCAAGTCCAGTATGAGAAACACTTGGGTGTCTTTCTTTACTTCCCTAATGCTTAATGCATTCTCAACTTGTACTTGAGTACATGAATAGAAGTTCACTGTAGTAGGCTTACTGGCCCATGCTAGCAGGTCCTCAAATTCATTCCTTGCCCATTTGTTTAACCTGTACTACAGCACCCTATTTTATTTATATAAGAGACCCGGAGAGTGGTAAGTACCCAATCAATTCTTTTTTTTATATTATAGTACAGTATTTCAACCGAGTATAAGCTTACTGCATCAAAACTGATATTGTATTGATGAGAATTTTTTTTATCTGACCATAGATGATGCTTGCTGATAATTACGTTGGATTCGTTACAACAAACTTACGCGTTAAGATTGAATTTTAAAATGACTTGGCGATTTCCTCTAGTTCTTCTGTCCCATACCATATTCAGATCAAATATACGACCTTTATTAAAATACGGTAGTTAGAAGAAGAAATACTGTACAGTGGACTCTCAGTTATCGGCCATAATCTGTTCCAGAAGGTCAGCCTAAAACTGAAATAATATTTCCCATAAGAATTAATGTAAATACAATTAATCCGTTCCAGACACCCAAAAATATTCACACAAAATAAGTTTTGTAAAGATTAATTAATTATAGTTTTACATACACAAAACAATGAGAACTAAATAAAATAGTACATGAACAATTAAATCACAATTACATACCCTTATTGAAGACTTGTTGGCTTATGGAAGATATGGAGGAAGAGAGAGGGAGAATTTATTGTTTGGAAGGGGAATTCCCTCCATAAGGACTTCAGGTATCAAAGCCCCCTCTGTGGTTATGTCTCTTCTTTGTCTTTACTGCCACTAGGACCAGCTTGAGAATCACTGCACACCTGTCACACAAAAAGAATCTGTCCATGAGAGGTCTGTTTCTGGCATCTCTCTAAGATTTCCCTGAAGTGGGACAAGGTTTTGTCACTGAACATGTTGCAGATATGGCTTGTCTTAGCTTGGTCAGGGTGATATTTCTCTACAAAAGCTTGCACCCTACTCCACATTGCACAAATCTCCTTAATCTCTGAAGAAGGCACCTTCCCTCCCTCTTCCTCCTCCTCTGAAGCAAGTTCCTCAGCTGTGGTCTGTTGCTGTTCCAGATGAAGCTCTTGCAGCTCTTCAGTGGTTAGCTCTTCACTGTAGTCCTCCACAAACTCTTCCACATCATTGCCACTAACCTCCAACCCCATGGACTTCCCCAAAGACACAATAGATTCCACAACAGGCATAGGGTCCTCAGGGTCATCCCCAAACCCTTCAAAATCCTTCTCTTGGACACAATCTGGACACAGTTTTCTCCAAAGTCCTGTAAGCCACTCCCTGCCAAGCCTTTCCTATAAGGCTTATGCAATGGAGGATACTGCAGTGATTCCTCCAGAACTCTCTTAGGGTCAAATGAGTGTCCGAGGTCACTTCAAAGCACCTTTGAAACACTGCTTTGGTGTAGAGTTTTTTAAAGTTATAAATGACTTGCTGGTCCATGGGCTGGATGAGAGGAGTGGTGTTAGGAGGCAAGAACTTCTGTTATAAAACTGAAGTCTCTAAACAACTGGTCTTCCAGGTCTGGAGGATGAACAGGAGCATTGTCCAGTACCTGAAGTACTTGAGTGGCAATTTACATTCCAGGAGGTATTTTTTCACACTGGGGCCAAACACATCATTGACCCACTCTTTGAAAATGTGCCTTGTGACCCATGCCTTATTATTAGCTTTCCACATCACACACAATCTATTCTTGACATTGTTTTTCTTGAACACTCTGGGATTTTCAGAGTGATACACCAGTAAAGGCTTCACTTTGAAATCCCCACTAGTGTTAGCACAGAACAAAAGAGTAAGCCTGTCTTTCATAGGCTTGTGTCCTGGCAGTGCCTTTTCCTCCTGCATAATGTAGATCCTCTTTGGCATTTTCTTCCAAAAGAGGCCTGTTTCGTCACAGTTGAACACTTGTTGGGGGGAGGAATCCTTGAGCCTCTACGTATCCCTTGAATTCCTGCACAGATTTTTCAGCCACACATTTGTCAGAACTTGCAGCCTCTCCATGCCTTACCACACTGTATGCCACTACGCTTCTTAAGTCTCTCAAACCACCCTTTGCTGGCCCTAAATTCACTAACAGCAGCACTTGTTCCAGGTATTTTCTTTACAAGATCCCCATGAAACTACCTTGCCTTCTCTCAAATAATCGACTCCACAACACTATCTCCCGCTAATTGTTTGTCGGTTATCTACAGCAACAATAACTTCTCCGTATCTTCCATTATTGGTGACCTTTGTTTCATTAACACATTTACTCCTTTTGCAACATTAGCTTCCTTGATTTCTACTTTTTTTTTTGCCAGGATAGAGGTGATTGTTGATTTATTTTTCCCATACATCCTGGCAAATTCCAGCACCCACACACCACTCTTATATTTTTCAGTAACTTCTTTCTTAAATTCCATCGTGTTTCTCTCTCTACCAAAGAAACTTTACTAAGAACTTTCTTTGGGGCCATGGTTACTTATTTCGCAGTTGCACTTAATCAATAACCATGGAAAACATGGATTATAGCGAAATGTTTGGATGAATGAGCAGAAGCTTCCCCACTCGCCCAGAGACACAACCAGGCTGACGCACGAGCAGCTGGCAGCGGCGGGTTGACGGTTCCCATACAGCTGATAAGTGAAATAGCGGCCGATAACCAGAAGCTGAAAAACCGGCCGATAACTGAGTTGGCCGATAAGCAGAACGGCCGATAACCGAGGGCCCACTGTATCTGTTGATAACCTAACATGGGTTTCAATACAGTACTGTACCATTTCATTCTTTCAGTGAAGGTACCTGGACACTGGTGAGTAGCTCCCAATCCAAGGAATTAACCTAAGTTTTTCCGTGGATCTAACCAGATCACCTTCCATTCTCTTAGGTACTATGACCCCTATGGGTTTAGTGCCTCCCCATAACTGAAAATGATGTACCATACCATGCTTACACTGTGTATTACAGTAATTACAGAACACATTCATGTAATTTCTAGAATGAAATAGTGTTCCACAGTTATAATTCTGAAGAAGCTGTGTTAAATTATAATTCATAAAAGATATAATAGAGCAAAAATGATTGAGAATGCGAGAAAAAATGCAGTATTCTGAAAAGTGTGTGGGAATGAGGTTGTTAAGCTGACAGGCTAACAATTTTGTGAATCTTGGAAAATACATGGTAAGCATACATGTATGCATAGTTGGGAGAGAAGGTGATGAGGAGGTATGAGGTGGGAACTTGCGTCATGTCAGGAGGACAGTGCGGTGAGGAACGTGCAAGCCAGGGAGTCCTGCCAACTGCAACTTTCTTGGTTCCGGGTGATGGTATGTGTGGCATTTTGTTCTGTTCTTGCCTTTTTCTAAGATAATCATGCTTACCCTGGCTCAGTCCATGTGGTGTGAGACCATGTTACAATGGGGAATGTATGACTTGTTATACATTCCCTGCTTTCTGTGGTGAAATGTCTACAAAGTTATAATTCTTCAGTAGTTATGCGTGTTAGTAACTGACAGAAACTATAAAATTTAGTCATAAGGCAAGAAAGATGCAACATTTTGAAAAACTGTGTGAGGAATACCTGCCAACCAATAGTCACATTAATTAAAATACATTTATAACAGGCTTTAACCTTTTTACTCTCTCCCACTTATATATA